AGACCCTCATCTGTTTACCGCAAATTAATAATTTAGTTATATTTACCTTCCGATAGTGCAAAGGTGAACGTAATTTTAACACAGAAAGCCTTCAGTGACTTACAATCTTTTTGTGTAAATAAAATAACATTCAGAATCAATAAAAAAAAAAGAAATAGATGTAGTAGTATATAACTATTGCATAAATTTATGTATAAAATTTATTTAATGTTTGTTGTATTGCTACCTTTTCTACGATTTCCACTGAGCATTAATTAAAAACAAAGTGCATAAAAATGCATAGATGGTAAAAACAACATATTTTTGAAAAAAACGTGACATATATTCATTTAAAGCATCACTGGCGCATAAAAATCCCAACTCTATTGGTGAGGGTAGTATTTAATAGAAATACCGCCGGAATTAATGATTTTGCCAGTTATCGGATATTCGGTCAAAAGAGTTCTCTTTATCTCGCAAATATTTTTTTTAAACTGCTTAATAATGTCAGGTGAAATTATTAAACAGATTTACATGATTTCATTCTTTTATTACATATTTTAATCGTCAGCCAATTCCAGATTATTTAGACATCAGCTAACCAAGCTCCATAAAAATAGGTTGCAAATCTATGTACCCTTGAAGCATGTAGAAATATAGAACTTTATTATGTAGTTATTATAATTCTACCCTAAAGATACGTCTGAACTTCAGATTTTTTGATAAAATAGGTGTTAAATAGGTACGGCATTCTGTATAAGTTCATAGTTTAAAAACAGAGGCAGATTAAATTTCTAGGAAATTTTTATATGAAAAAAAAGTGAAATAAGAATATCTAGTAGTTGTGTCAAGATGAAAAAAGCGCTAGAGATATAAAACACAGAATAACGCAGAAGCGTGTCGCTTAAAAAAAAGAGCTCGTGACCCGTTAATTTGGAAGTTCGAATGCGATTATTAAAAGTGTATGTTTGGAGCACAGTTTTGTATGGGTGTGAAACGTAGGCGGCTGGCGTCGTGGAAAGCGTATAAGAAGTGATGGTCCAGGATGTTAAAAATGTCGTGGATAGAAAAAAGAAGAACAAAGGCTGTTATGGAAATCA